AAATTCTGAATTGATTTTAACGCATTGTCCGAGACAAAGGGAAGCGACTGGAGCAGGGTCTCCCCCAAGAAGGGAAGGAATCCGGTTATTGAATTATAACGATGTCGGGCAGAATGGTCGAGGGAAAAACATAAACATAAATTCCTTCAAAGTCTTTGAGCGAAACAACAATTGCATAGAAATCAATTTCAGAGGCGAAGCGTTCAAGGGTTAAATTCCAAAGGGGAGGATATAAATTTTGTAAATGCAGCAAGGGGATCTGACGTGGGGCAGAGAAGACCCCACAAATCGGGGATGCATGGCCAAACTGGTGGGGCATTCCATTTAATGGCATTTGTGGCTTGTCGCTGGGGTTGATACAACACAACGACTTTGCCATAGTTTCTTTCAGAATCGAAGGGAAAATGAAAATGGAAACCATCAACTTAAGCACTCTTCGTTCGAAGTAGAATAGTTATGAAAATTTCCACATCAATTGTTAAGCAGCCATTGTTTAAGGGGGTTGAAGCACTAACTGAATAAGTAAATCATTGAAAGTTTTTAGATTGCGTTCAAGCGATAACCACTTATTTATTTCTTTTTAGATTAGATGGAAAGGGATATGATGTAATGTACCCATGATATATAACATGAACAACAATTGAAGACTTCAGGGTTTTTCTCAAGACACTTTGTAAATTTTGCGAAGTACTAAGTGTGGGTCTACAAGCCAAATATTTATTTTTGGTCTGGTAATCTGAATCTAATTTAAATTAAATTAAAAAAAAAAAATTACTTATATTCTGGCAATGCAATATACGCCTACGTGCAGGCAAAACTTTTGTGGCGAATTGAGTTTAATATTTCATGGTCTTAACTATAAGCTTAACTAAAGCTTAACTATAACGTTCATTCTTGTTTGAAAATGTGTTATGATTCGTTTACAGCTTTTTACCCAAAAACTTTGAACCCGAGAATCTAATTGATTAAAGCTGGCACGCCTTTTCTGATCTGGTGTGATTGCATTTCAGTCAAATGCATTACACATCCCTTTTGGCAACTCTAAGCAGATAATTGGGGCCACAATATCATTAGGAATTCCCTTTTCTCGCTCAAAACCAGAGTTAGGGAGCGGTGTCTTCGGGCTTAATTAATTCAGTTGCATCACACTGTGAGTGACCCCCGAAAAAAATGGAAAGAGAACGCTCTGATGTGAAGTGAAATAAAATTACGAAGAACCAGCTGAATGTCAATGTCCTCCCAAAAAATCTCTACCCTCAAACAAGTGTGCTTCGCCTCCTTTTGCGATGCCAAAAACAAAGAAAGAAAGGATTGTATATACAGCAGTATGTACAAATATATTTATTTTGTATGACATTTCTGACAATTTATGATGCAAATTCCTCATCCAAACTGAAGAATGAAGCGATGGCACGAGAAGCAGCCTCCGACAAATTGTCGAGAAATTGCATAAAACTTTACAAAAAAAGCAAAGCAAAATAACACGAGAGAAAAAACAAATTGTTATGCTGAAATCTGTAATCTGAAGTAGTTGCGGATGCACTCGAGATATATATTTATGGAGCGAGGGAGAGGAGGAGTAATAAAAAAGAGACAGCCACATCTGGGCAAAGGGCAAAAGCTGTATGCTAAAATTGTTTTATTTCTGCTTTCATTATTCCGTTTTATATTTCGTGATGGCTTTTTTTTTTTCTGTTGATTCATCAGAAAATAAATTGAAATGCTGTTGTTGACAAAACCGAACTCGGACAGAAAACTTTTTGCTGTTTGCCATTGGATGATTTATTTAATTTACTAAAACTAACACGACATGGACAATATTTGATAATAAAATCACGTTCACACGCTTAAGGCCACAAATCAATTGGAGCCACCGAAAACGAACCCATCAATGAAATCGGCCCTAACCCAAAGTTCATTATAAAATTATTTGTCCTCCTTTTTATTTGGGGTCCCAAATTCGTGGAAAGAGTTTTGACCGCAACAGAGGACTTCCCTCCGCCCACATGAATTTGCCTCTAGCCTCGGGGTCACTCAAAACGTATAAATATCAATCTCAATCTATCCCACGAACTCTACCAAATACAAATTCTTTCAACTTGTGCGGTACCCATTTTTTTCTCGATAATATGCCAGTGTTGTTTTTAAAAGTCACAGAAACAAAGCCAACAAAATAAAAGCAAAACAGCATTGAAAACAAACTATTGCAAATTGTTTTTGTACGTTTTAAAATAAATATTACAATTTAAACAAATAGTCTAGTGGCTCACCACAATAAAATTATAGAAAATTTGAAGAGAGCGTAATTAACAATACAAAAATATGTTCGAATGCGAAACATGTTTATGTAACAATACATGTGTAAATAAAATAACTATTGTGAAAGAACTAAATAGGAAATACAAAATTTGTGCTAAAATTATGTGTACCAATAAACAATAAACTGAAACCTATTGAAATTATTAGAAAATGTTATTTATATCGCGCACGACCAATGCAATTAGGTAGCTCCTGGGTAATACATTTATTTATCACAGAAACTAACATTTTTCATATAAAATAAAAGTAGAATTAATTGAACCATTTTCCTGTTTTAGGTGTATTGAGATGTAGTTTATTTTATTCAAAATAAAAATATCTAATGGGATCTAAAAATGATCAATTTTGTTTTGCACTTGTAAAACAAAAAACAAATAGGTTTGTTAACGATTATATGTATGTATCCCTTCAACACTGTAGCTACCGATATTTTTTTCCCACACAACCAAAGAATTTCAACTTCAATCAGAACAAAATTTAATATTGTTGTGTGCACGGCTTTTGCCTCTTAACTGATTACAATTTCGTGCATGTGGCCAAAACTCAAACGTGGTACAATCTGTTATGAATTTTTATTGAGTGGCTTGTATTTTAAAGAAAAAATTAATTTATCGCATTTTCGATACTGTTCAAATAAAAGGCCAAAATCGAAATTTGGGATCGAAAAAACGGAGGGGCTCGTCATCATCTGAACACTGTGTCAGAAAGTCGGAGCCGAAGGCAACGGGCGGGGACACGTTGCCAGAATTTAAATGGACAAATTAATTGCGTTTGTCAGACCTGTGGACAGGTTCTGGCCATTGGAGCACCAGCAACAGCAACAACGAACCCAAACGCCCGAACAAAGAATTAATTGGTTTTTGGACACTGGATGAAATATATTTAATTTAGGCTTAATGCCTGACAGAGATTGCATTTTACTATGCCCCCCATTCCTCTCCTTTCAAGTGTCAAATTGGCATTGAATCATGACTGGGACTGTATCTTTTTATCTGTGCGCGATCGTATGGCCATCAAATAGCCATTAAACAGTAGACCATTATCCTGGTTGATGGGATAAAAATGCCTGCATCTCCACAAAGGATCGCGGATCACAGACCGCAGGAGATCGTGTGGCTCAGTCGGTGATCGAGGATCGAGGATATAAATTATCACTTGCGTTTGGGTCTGACAAAGTTGTTTATAGGGGATATACTCGAAAGGAGGTGGGGAAATCGGAGCTATACTGAGGGAAAAACTTATGCGCAAGGCAGAAAATATTTTTATTAAATACAAATGTGCATTACAATAAGTGCAATTGTAAAATAATTTAATCCTGATCAGTCGCAATAAGGGCATTTAAATTTATCTTAAAATATTCTAAGTAAGTGTTTAAAAAATAATGAAGCACATGTATAACTTAAATTAATAATTAAAAGTTTTAGAGCAATATATATATTTAATTATTCAAATAAGAATTTTTTCCGTGAACTAGAACCCTAACCCTAAGTTTGATGTCCCTCTTTTGTCCGATTTGGGTTGACAGTTTTATTGTGTCGCCTTTTTTGAATTAATTGAGCCGCCCCTCGGTTCCAAATGAAGTCGTTGTCGCGTTTCCAAGGAATGACGTTCCAGGGAATGAGTTCCCTGCGACCTCTTCCTATCCCTGGAGAGAACCCCTGAGGGAAGATGAACTGGAAAGACCACACATTGCGATGGAGACACACGCAGCTCTGTTGACGAACCCAAAAAGCATTCCCTAACAAATTGCTTCTTCTCTATTTATTCTGCCTGCGGGCGAGCCGTTGCCAATTAATTATAATTGATTGGCGATATTAACGAAAATTATGATGATTACGATAATTCGGTGGAAATGCACCCGCAGATACGTAGATACGTTTTTCTGTCGAAACACATATACAAATCACAATAAGAGCTGAAAACTATTCGGTTTCATGATAAACGACTTAATTGTGCCTTTCAGCAAGCCGTTGGTATTTAAATTATTAAATTTGTTGATAAATTTGTTGGATCGGGGACAATACTTCAACCGGTTTAAATGGCGTTTAAGGTTTACAAAACTATAAATAAGTGAAGACGAAACCAAAAATAATTTTCAAATTAAATGAAGAATTATTATATATTCGAAATAAACTGGTACGGAGAAACTAAACGATTTTAAAGATTTAACTATTTATTTGGCTATGAAAATAAATGAAATGCCGCCTTAAAAGAAAACATTCTGGAAAAACTTTTAATTATTATTATATTTTTGTGAAATCCATTAATTAAGATATGAAAGGATTTGAAGGAAACATGTAAGCAGCTTAAAAACTATAGTTTTACTATTTGTACTTTCTATTCTCTGCTTAAGTACGGTCACATTGCGAACTTTCACTCTACTGGTATAGTGAATCTAAAATCAAGCTCCGCGGAGAAATTAAGTGATTTAACTATTTATTTGACAATGAAAATACCATGAAAAGCCGCCTAAAAAGAAAACATTTTGGAAATAGTTTTATTTATGAATATATTTTTGAGAACTACACGCTTAATAATTCTCTTAAAAGATATGAAGGAAATATATAAGCAGCTAATAAACTAATCTTGTACTATGTGTACTTTCTATTGTCTGCTTAAGTACGGTCACATTGCGTGCTATCCACTCTACTTTTTGACAACCTTTTCTGAGTTGTCAAATGTTGATTGAGAACATTCACAGCATTTATACCTTTTGTTGGAAGAATCTCTATTTAGTGGATATTTTTCAAAACCATGGGTCGTCGTCGCACTGAGAATGACAAGCCTTGGCGTTCGCGTTCGCGTTCCAATTCTCGTTCCCGACCTACCCGCTCTGATACGATTTATGTAGAGAAATATCGATTGGAACGACGTCCGGGCCGAGGTCCCTCGTCCTGGGACGTTCCGCCGCTGGGATATGAACACCTGACCCCGGTCCAGTACAAAGCCATGCAGGCTAGCGGTCAAATAGCCTCGCGGATTGTGCCGGATGCCCCGCCCACGGGGGAATCCGCTTCCATTGCCATGGTCACGCGCCAGGCTCGCCGTCTGTATGTGGGCAACATTCCGTTCGGCATCACGGAGGAGGACATGATGGACTTCTTCAATCAGCAGATCCAGTCCGTGGGCGGCATTGGATCGCAGCAGTCGGACGGCAGGGCAGTGCTGTCGTGCCAAACCAACCTGGAAAAGAACTTCGCCTTCCTGGAGTTCCGGTCCATGGACGAGGCCACCCAGGCGCTACAATTCGATGGGATTACCTTTCGCGGCCAGACCTTGAAGATCCGAAGACCGCACGACTACCAGCCGGTGGCCAACGTTGGCACCTCGGAGTCGGACATTTTCACGGCCAATTTCAGGATGCCGCAAGCCACCTTCACGATGCCGCCGATCGCTGCCGCAACTGGACCCCATGTGATCTCCTCCCTGGTGCCCGATTCTCCGCACAAGATCTTCGTTGGTGGTCTGCCCACGTGCCTGGACGAAGGCCAGATCAAGGAGCTCCTGCTGTCCTTCGGCAAGCTGAGGGGCTTCAACCTGGTGAAGGACAGCACGACGCGCCTGAGCAAGGGCTTCGCCTTCTTCGAGTACCTGGATCCCACGTTGACGGATCAGGCGATTGCCGGCTTGAATGGCATGCAGCTGGGGGATCGCAAGCTGGTGGTTCAACGCTCCATTGCCGGGGGAAAGAACGCGACCACTGGACCACTGGCCGCCGTGCAGGTGCCGGGGCTATCTTCCATTCTGGCCGCTGGCGAAGCCACCGAGGTGCTGTGTCTCTTCAACATGGTTTTGCCGGAGGAGCTGCTGGACGACGAGGAGTACGAGGACATCCGCTCGGACATCAAGCAGGAGTGCACCAAATACGGCGACGTCCGCAGCATCCAGATCCCTCGACCCATCGGCCAGTTTCCACAACGGGGTTGTGGCAAGGTCTTCGTCCAGTTCGAGTCCGTCGAGGATTGCCAAAGGGCCTTGGCGGCGCTCAGTGGCCGCAAGTTCAGCGGGCGCATCGTGATGACCTCGTTCTACGACCCCGAAAAGTACCTGGCTGGTAATCTACAATAATCTATTCAATATACATGCGATTTCATAAACCAGTATTTCCAAATTCTAAAATTAGTTCTTATTTGTACTAAAAACTTGATGGATTGTTTTGTTTTACTGTAAGGGATTATTATCATCGATTTAGTATAGAAGCAACTTTTGTTGTACTAGATCGTTAAAGAGAGTTGATAACTGGAATTATTAATTTATATACAAATTTATTTATAACGATAGAACTTATAATTATCAATTAAAGGAAAGTGTGGACAGAACTGCCAGTAACATAATTTCAAAGCTCTTAAAAATAATATATAAATACCCTTATAGTATAGCCGCCAATTGCACTTCTTTTAAAGTTAAACGTATGATTTTGAACTTCATGCTAATTAAGTAAGCTTTAGTGTTTTTTTGTTGAAAAAATAAAGTAAAGGTTAAGTCCCTTGCAACCAGTTGATTCATAGATTAAAAATAAATAATTTGAAACTAGACTACATAAAATAAATAAGTATCATAGAGCAATAATTAATTATACCCTTGCAGAGGGTATTATAATTTCAGTCAGAAGTTTGCAACGCAGTGAAGGAGACATCTCCGACCCTATAAAGTATATATATTCTTGATCAGCATCACTAGGCGAGTCGATCTAGCCATGTCCGTCTGTCCGTCTGTCCGTCCGTTTATATGCAAACTAGTCTCTCAGTTTTAAAGCTATCTGCATGAAACTTTCCCAAAAGTTGTCTTTCTATTGCAGGTAGTATATAAGTCGGAACGAGCCGGATCGGACGACTATAGCATATAGCTCCCATAGGAACAATCGGAAAAATAAATGAAAAAAAATTATAACTTTGCTGTTTTTTAATTTTTTGTTTTGTTCTTCAACATAAAGCAATGATTAAATATTTCAGAATTATGGTAAAAATTTCATCAAAATCGGACGACTATAGCATATAGCTCCCATAGGAACAATCGGAAAAATAAATGAAAAAAAATTATAACTTTTCTGTTTTTTAATTTTTTGTTTAGTTCTTCGACATTTAGTAATGGTTAAATATTTTCGATTTACGGTTTAAATTTCATCAAAGTCGGACGACTATATCATATAGCTCCCATAGGAACAATAAAAATATATAAAATAACTATCAAATAATTGAGCTGCAAATCATCATAGCTTCAATGTTTTTAAACTTATACGCAAGTAAATTATAATTTTAATGTTTTCAAAAATGTTTAATTCTTGCAATAGCTGCAAGGGTATATGAACTTCGGCTTGCCGAAGTTTGCTTTCTTTCTTGTTTTTAATTATTTTTTTTTTTTAATTAATTTTTTTTTAATTAATTTTTTAACAACCTTTTGCACCATTAGTGGTTGGGTTTTGCCCCAAATGGTCATGCAACAGGGTAAGGAAGGTCTTAATTCGATTCTCAACTGAAAGTTAATACTTATTACTATTTAATCTAAAAAACTACGTGTACAAATATAAAATGAACTTGTTGACACAATTAAGCTGCGACTTCGAACATCGAGGCTAGTCATTTCATCTTGTCAGCTGTTGTATTGGTTAACTGATGTGCCCAAGGCCAGACTGCGATAAAGAACTTAATCCTCTGCGAAAAAAACGGCATCGTCTCGTTATTGTTTTCCGTTGTTGTGATGATATCATCTGCTTAATGCCAGAGAAATCGCTTTCAGATATCTGGGGCTGGGATGCCAGGACACGCCTCTCGCCCCCCAAGGGGGCGGATGCCTCGGATTCAATTAGGCAGACCGACTCAAGCTGCAATCCTTAAAGCTGCTCAAGAGCTGACACTTCCTTCTGCAGACCTTGTTGTGGTTATTTTCCACATGCCCCTGCCGGCAAAGCCCTTGCTTAATTAAAATTTTAAACTTTACGCCTTATCGTCGGCATTTCTCGGGCATATTCACACCTACCTTCTGCATATTACCGGAGCTCAGGTAATTTTTTAATGCCCTTTCAACGGAGAAGCTTCTTGGGCTGCTTATCTCCCCGAACGGTTGCATTTTCTCAGGTCTCACATTTCGGCCTCTCGGAGCATCCGCCTTGGGGTCTGTTCTTATCTCAAACTTTGGTCATTTGGTCGACAGCCGATCATCAATACTCGTACGCGTAATGAAATGGCTAAGACACGGAAAGAAATTATTATTTTTTATTTAAATTTAATTTCTTTTAATAAGTTTTTGCTTTACAAAAAAAAGATTATCACATTGAACTGGAAAACAGAGTTAGTTGATCTCTGCTTCCAGCTTGGCACATTTTGTAATTAGAGTTTGGCTGACTTTTAATTTTTGTCAGCCACATCCCATATTTTAAATATGTTACCATCCCTGTAAACAGCCTTAATTGATAATTTAGTAATAGTATGTTATTAATCTGCCTTAGGTTGATTAGATTATAAGAAAACAACAAAGGCATAAAAAAAATGTTTACCTCACCGTTTAAAAAAGGGGATATCGTAAAAAAATTAGAATACTATGTTGGTTGCGTTAAACATCATAATAATATGCCAAATATATAATAGTATTCCTCAGTAGATTCTTTAAACAATTTCCATCATTTTCAAAAGCTAAGCTAGTTTGTGTGGCAACTGAATTGAAAATTGGTTAAATAATATTAAATGGAACATGCCAATTTATTTTCCCAGTGCTGCCTTAAGTGCGTTGAAAGCCCAACTCCAGACTGAACGATTTATCAGTGGCAACGACGACCACAACTAAACGCTTTATCGAAAAGGTGGAGATTGTGCCTGGCAGGAGAGGAAAAGACGGAGAACTTGACACAAATTAATTCAACGCCTTGGAGTTTTGTCATTCACCGGAGGAGTCGATCTGAAGGCAAACCTTTCATTCCCTGGGCTTCAAAAAAAAAAAAAAAACAGACAAAACTTCTTTCGGAGCCGCTGCCGCTGTCCCATGAAAATCAATGCCTCGATGGGTAATTAATAAACGCCCATAAAGATGCGGATACAATAAAAATTCCAGACGAATTGGAGGCGGAGAAAGGGAGTCAAAGTCAAAAGGGTTTCTTTGATTTTGTAGTTTTTCCATCGTTGATTTTTATGATCTGGCAGCTGCGCTTTGGGGATTAACTGGATTGACTTCTAATCTTGTCAAGCAACTTCTCCCCTTCGGTTGTGACCGAGGTTAGGGTCGGAATCGGGATCGGGTTTTGGGATGTTAGGTAATCGAAATTAAGCAATCAAAGCCACAGTTGAGTGAACCCTCAATCGCCCATACCGATGGCTTCTATGCATTTTTAATTGCATTCTCATCATTTCATTTGAATATGATGTAGTAGATAATTATTGGGCTCCTGCCAGAGCAACGCCTTCCGCTTAAAACGATTGTTAAATGCCTTGATTGTTCCATTTGGTGGCAGGGAAAGGTATCAGAAGCTTGTTCTCTAATTTATCGTATCCATCACTTGATTTGTGTATCTCCCCGAGTTATCCAACTTAATTAGTTGGATCTGCAGGACGTTGTTCTGTTTCACTAATGATAGTTTAGTTGGCCGAGCATCGTATAAATTTGCCAAAGATCCAGAGATAAAAGGTTCCATAAAAATTTGTTCATCTAATGATCGCGATAGACATCTCCCATGTGTTCAATTTGTACAGATTTAATTAAGATACATGGCCATTTTTGGAGACAAAAGCGGGTTTAATGAACTAGACTTTGGCTGCAAAACCCAGAAAGGTCAGAATTTAATCTCGGAAATATTCAAAAATCAAGCAATCAATGCTGAAAACTTTTTCTTGGTTCTCAAAGGGGAGAGAAGTTGTACCCTCAGAACAGGAGCCCGAATTCAATTAACCAGAACCTGTTGCTTTGTTTTGTTTACCCACAATTCAATTCACATTTCCGGAGCCCAAGAAAAAAATGAAATTAAGGGCATGAAGAGCAGAACAAAACATGCGAAATAAAATCAAATAAACAAATATTGTTGTGCAGTTCAAGCGAATTCGTAATTTCCCCTTCATAGTCAACAACAAAGGCTAAAAACAAATTACCAGCGAGAATAATTTCACCGAAATTTCCACTTGGGGTAGTATCTGGAAGGGAGGGGGAGGCGTGGGGAGGGGGAAGAGGGGTATTTGGGCGGTATTCCCCACCCATTCGGGCTGTCATTTCCATTCCCGTTCCCGTTCCAGGGTTCCACGTCGCTTCGTTAATGGCAGCGCAATTAATTCGAGCAAATCGTCTGTGAACCCTTTTTATGACCTCGAAGAGCCCGCTTCACACCGCTCTACCCGTCTCTTTCTCCGCCGCAGTATACCCGTCTCTTTCGGAGATAAAAATTCATTAAACGACATCATTCGAGAGCTTTGTTTCGCTTTGAACTGTTTACCCGGAGATAATAAATGCGGAATAGGAACGCAAATGCCAAAAAAAAGTGTTCTTTAAATGCTTCAGAAGTTTTTTTTTTGTGGTGGCGAAAATTGTTTGGGTTTTATTTGCGTAAACTGTTGAATGAGCTACAATAGAACCGGAAGCATGGAAGGGCAACATTTCAGGCATCTAAATTTAAAAGGTTTCCTTGGTTAAGCTAATTTTTAGGCATTACTTAGGAGTTATAATCGGGTTACTGACTAAAAAAAAATTAATACAATTTTTGAAATAGACATTTCGGGTTTTTTATTGACCAATGTTTCTATTCTAAGTATCGAATAGCAAAAAAGTGTTTTTATAAAATCATAGCCTCGCAAACTACATACAATAACCCTGAATATGTATGTCCTTTTCTTATATTTTTTTTAGCCTGTTCTAAAAGAAAGCATATTGCTTTTTTAATATTCCGCATAATATTACCTTGGCTGCAGGAAAATAAATCTTGCAGCCTCTTCCCAAAAGTTATATTGAACTAGTTCCCCCAGCACCATTAAACTATCCCATTAGCTGGCTATTCAACTCGTTTGAGCACATTGTTACACGATTATTCCGCTGATCTATTACGCGGCTTAAGCACCATTTGTCTTTCCAAACTCTTACACAATTCGAACCGAATCCCGAACCCGGAATCCGTACTCCGAGTTCGAAGAACCCATTTGTGGACACCCTACGGCGCCAAAGAGAAAAACAA